CCTGCCCTTCCCATTTTCTGAACATCTGTGGGAATACTTTCATTTGAAAACACGCTTTGAAACAGAGGCTCGCTGAAGTAAGAGATCAGAATATGCTCACCGAGCAGACTCGTCAACAAACTAGCATCTGCGTTTGTTGCCATTTTTTGTCCAAAAGTTGCCACAAAAATGGCAAAAGTTGCCAAAAAAGTTGCCTTTAATTTTCAAGCTTTCAACTCTCTGTGACGACGTATATTATAGGCCTATATACCGTACATGTAGCATGTTGATAGAGGTAACTTTATCTAAAGCACCAAAATTTCTTGTGTTCTGTTTTTATGCAACCAGAATATCATGTGTGCCACACAGGATGTAAAGCGTGAAAAATAAAGGTTTCACAACAGAATTAAATCAAAACTAGAACAGCGCATAAACATGAACTACACAAATTAACAAATAAAGACGTGTGTTAACCTATCCGAAGATTGGCCGTTTTAACCCCAAACGCGTGTAATTTAAGAAAAAGTACAGGATATTACTTACATGAAAATTATGGAATCACACACAAGGGGCCTGTCAGTGTCAGTATTCAGTTTCGGTAGAGACACGCTCTAGCACTAGCATAAAACGTTTGTATTTTTAAAGAATGTGGGAACAACAGCAAATTAAATGACATACGCTATATAATAAATATAAAAAAACGGGGGCTCTCGTGGCCTAGAGGTTAAGGTGTTGGCCTCTCATTCAAAGGTCCCGGATTCGAATCGGGTAGTGACTGAAAACATTTTCCTCTCTAGTAATTGTCTCATGTCAGCTCCTTTCCTGCTCTCTAGTAATGTTCTGTCGTCTGCTTTCGTCTCCTCTTCTTGCCCTCCACCCCCTCACCTCATTTGCCCCCTCCTCTGGGCTCCTGACTCTATCAGCAGCCTTTCTACTGCTACTCCTTGGCTCCTTCTTACTGCTGTCTTTCAGCCACACCCCTGATCTTCTGGTAGGACAAGGGCGACAAATCTCGGAGGTTCTGTGAGGAAATTGCGCACGTTAAAGATCCCCTGGTGGTCTAAAATCGATAAGAGTATTCTTCGGCCGCCATCCGGGCAAAATTCAAAATTTCCTACCAACTGAAAAAGTTTAACTTGTCCCGCGCGCTCATAGGACCTTATGCAGTTGCGAGCGCCGTAAAACACTTACACCCCCCCCCCCCCCAAAAAAAAAAACACAAAAAACACTAAAAACCCTAAAAACCACACACACAAAAAAAACAGAAAAAGAACACATCAGAACAATAACAAGGAAAATTAAAACACAATAAAGAGGGACAAGTTAAAGGGAAAAAGCAGTACATAAATAGTATGTAATGTACTTAGTCTTCACATGAAATTTCCTGAAAAATAACTAATGTCAACGTGGTGTCAACAAGTGAGAAACAGACGAAGTGAAGCGAAAGTGACTGTAAACTATTCTAGAAATCTAGTTTTTCTTTCTAAAAGTAAAGTTTATGAGGTTCAGTTTCTTTATTTTTGGGGGGTTTTGTATGTTTTCTTTTGTAGTTTCTCGATTGTTATTTCCCGGGGTTTGTTTTTCGATTTTTTATTCCCGAGCGGTGGGGGCTTTTTTTGTGGGGTTTTTTTTTTTGAAAAATGCAAAAATCGCGGCCACGATTCGCGGACTAAAATCTGCCAAAAATTGCGGCCACGATTCGCGGACTAAAATCTGCCAAAAATCGCGGCCACGACAAACGCAGATGCTAGGTAATTATTCTCCTAACGGTAATATTTAAGATTGGCTCTGTGACATCATTTATAGTTATTATATATTGCAATATTTGAGCGCTAAATATGAGAGCTTACGGTTGAAAACTAAAAGAGGAATATGTAGCCTATTGGAAAATTATAGGCTTCATCCTTTGTGGTAGATCTAGATGTTTGCTTTTAGTTAGTTGTACAAAATTCCGGAGTCCATAATTATTCTCCTAAATATAATACATGTAATGAATATTGTCTATGTGACCCATTTGTTAGTTACTGCAGTTTTTGCACACTAAATATGGGCGTTAATTGGTGGGTGCTCTGGGTTGTATTGTGCTCCTTCTTTCACATCAAACATCTATTGTCCTTCTGTTGGCCACCATTTAATGAAATATATCCCATCGCCACCAAGAAAATCATTCAGATTCTATTTTTAAACGAATTTTTAAATTTCTTTTGGGAGGCTTTGGCCAAATTGTGCCAAAATCGTAATTTTTGCCCTATCCATGAAGGAAAATCCGACTGCCCTCATCGTTCTGTGTCAAACCATATCAAATTATAGGGAGATTGGACGAAAGGTTCTGCCCTTGGGTGAGACACGTTGTAGGAATGCAAAACAATATTTTTTAAATAACATGGCTTCCCAAAGCTATTTTCTACTCAGAATTTCCGCATGTGTGTGGAAGGCAGGACTGCTCTCCACTAAAATAGATAATAATCCTTTAAAAAACAACAAAAGAAAAACCAAAAATAATAATAAATAAAACAAAGACGCTCTGAAAGTTTGCTCATTTACTGATGCGGATGACTGGGAACCCCCCTGTCTTGACCGATCACAGCGACGTAAAGCAGTGACATGTCCATGGCAAAAGGCTCTTGATGAAGGAAAAGTCTGTAACTGTAAAGCAGAATTAAGAAGCCAGAGGAGCAAAAAACTAAAAAACAGACAAATCCAAACATTCTGGACAATAAATACCAAAGACAGTGAAAATTGTGGCGTCGGTGGCCTTGTGGTTAGGCTACCGGACTCGTAATCGTGAGGTTGCGGTTCGGGAGTTCGAGCTGCGGACCCGACGTTGTGTCCTTGGAAAAGGCACTTTACACGAATTTTCCTCACTTCACCCAGGTGGAAATGGGTTCCCGGGCCATAGACAGAGAAAGATCTTGTTAGTATGTTAGTGTTTTCGCCTATAAATGGCTGTATGCTTCCCAGAAAGTTGGAGTTGTTTCAGAACGCTTTCAGGTCTGCAGGGGTAAGATTGTGAAGTGCATATATAGCTGCTGCTGCTGCTGCTGCTGCTGCTGCTGCTGCTGCTGCTGCTGCTGCTGCTGCTGCTACTACTACTACTACTACTACAATTTCTCCTGCTGCTGCTGCTGCTGCTGCTGCTGCTGCTGCTGCTGCTGCTGCTGCTGCTGCTGCTGCTGCTACTACTACTACTGCTACTGCTGCTGCTGCCGCTGCTGCTACTACTGCTACTGCTACTGCTACTGCTACAGCTGCTGCTACTACTACTACTACTACTACTACTACTACTACTACTACTACTACTACTACTACTACTACTACTACTACTACTACTGATAATAGTAATAATGAGGAAAATAATAATAATAACAACAACAACAACAACAAAATAATAATAATAATAATAATAATAATAATAATAATAATAATAATAATAATAATAATAATAATAATAATAATAATAATAATAATAATAATAATTGGCTGCTAAACTTAATAATTATGATTTCAAAAAATAATTTAGAAAATAATAGTACTATAGCCTTTCATTATATTATTATACTCTTCTTTTTCTTCTTCTTTTTAGTTTTGCCAAATTTTGGCGGACTAAACGTTTATTATTATTCTAGATTTTGTGCAAAGAAAGGCAAAGACAGTGACCGCGAGTTCCGGGAATCCTTTCACGTTTCAGAGGCAACGATATTTTTTCCAGCACGATAGGCCCGAGGCCTAACGTTTTTATCTATTACAGGGTGTGTGCATAAACGGGAGATGCAACGTCGATTTAATTGTGGTATCGATATGAGTAACCTCTCTCCGTTCCTACTTTTTGAGTGACCCTGAGTACTTCTCAAAACGAAAACAGAGAGGAATTTTTAGACGATAGCAGGCATCCTGACAAAGCGATTAATGAAAAGACTTGTAACTGCTACAAATAAAGCGGCGGCTCTGACACTCGTTTTTTGTGTTTGGTTTTATCGAACTGCATATGAAGGTAAATAAATAGATTAAAATGTTACGGACGAGTACCAAAGTGCTGTGTTTTTACTTTTATAGACTCTAGATCTAGATCTAGATATCTAGATCTAGATGAATAGAGAAAGCGAAAGTAGGATTTTCCAGCCAGCCTGCGTGCTCTGACCCCGGGCCATGTAGACCAAGATCTACTTGATATTTGATTTGGATTTGTTCAGTCAGAGTCATTTCTCATATTTGTGCTAGATCTAGGAACACTTTTGGATTTATAATTATTCGTTAAATTTTTTGCCACAACTGTGATGATTTCAGTCCATGTCGTCATGTTGTGACTTGGCAAGTTAGCAGTTATAATAGCGAGCTCTTCTGTAGTGTATGCCTGTTGACTGCCGGTGTATTATAAATCCCCCCACCCCCCTAGATGCAGGTGCTTTTGGCAATCTTGAAGCTTCCCACTAAAATTTAAAGAATTCAACACCCAGGATGTTTTTACCTCTCAGTTTCAGTACACGTTCTGTACGTGGTACTGCTGCAAACAGAAGGGCCTGTTCTCCGCAAGGCCACATCTACTCTCACCCGGGGTGAGAATGGGGCAGTTATGGGCCTCTCATCTGGGGTGAAAATAGCGCAGTTGTAGGGTGAGAGGGCTAATCTTCTACCCATTGTGCGTTCACTGTTTAGTGCATCGGCTCATGCCGTTCACTCCGGGTGAGAGGGTGAGCCTTTTGGCTATTCTCACCCGGTGTGCATTCACCATGATACCAGTGTAAACAATCGTTCCAGCGCTCTTGTGTTGAAAGCGTGTAATTGTTTTGTCTGCCCGCAGTGAAAGAGAAGGGGGGAGGTGGAGGGGAGAAAGAGGGAGAGAGAAGGAGTAGCGAGAACTTTCGGGCAAAACAAAATAAATGGCGTCGTAGTTCGGCTCGATTCGCAAAGTGAAATAGCTGTGGCATCTTTGACACATCATTTTTTTCTGTCGTTTAGATCATCCACACCGATAGACAGAATTCAGAAATTATAGGAAAAATAGATCTTGTTTCACACTGGGTGAGAATAGCCAACGCTGGCAAGTCTCACCCGGGGTGAGAGGTCGATCATATTTTTTATTCTCACCCATTGTGAGAACAGCCACTTCCTTCTCTACAAATGAACTGTACTGTGGCATCTGTGGTGGAATGTGATGTGAGCCTCATTGTTGTTTCCCTCTGTGCTTGTACCAAAGATTCTCTACTACAGATCGTATACATGATCTTTGCTTGTACTTGTTGTGCCATTTGCTTGTCCTATGTTTATGAGCTTAACTTTTTAAATTTGTATTATAATTGTTGTGTCCACGTTGAATTTTCAGGCAAAGGCTGCATGAGGCTGAAGTCATGGATATTGGATCTGTAGTGGAAGAGGTCGCCCTTGAAGGACTTGATGGTAGGTTTGCTGTTCAAGTTGGTGTCGTCGGGAAAAATGCAAGATAATCAGTCTCAGATTGAATGTTTCTTATGGCTTCCACCACCATCCCCATATGCTATAAATTATTTGGTGCCTGTTTTGTTGAAGGTTTACCGCCCTACGGCGGTCTACTGTGGATGTCAAAGTCCTGCCTGATTGGCCACGATCTACAGCGATCAAGGTGGATAGTGTAATGTATGTCCCTTCTGATTGGCCTCAGTAACTCAACAGTGCAGGAGGCATTTAGATCAAAGACGGTGGTGTTTACAACATGGTGGTGTGTGGATGGGTGGATTGCTTCATTTTATAGAGTGGTTAAGATAAACATTTTTTACAGTGGTAAAGAATATGATTGACGAGTAAGTTGGGACAGCAAGTGACCAGACATACCCCCCCCCAAGAAATCAGGGATGGGGCAGCCCCCTCGAACCCTCTCTCAACCTCCTACTTTGCTCCTCCCCCCACCAACACACAACAATACCACCAAAACATTTTTATTAATATGGTGGTGGATTTTCAACTCAGCCTGTTGTCAGACCAGTCCGGCGGTAGACCCTCAACTAACCCGAAACATCATGGTAGACCCTCAACTAAACTGGCACCAGTTATTTCCCAATGATTTGTAATCTTGAGTTCATTCCTTATAGATGACCTGTAATCATGATTTTTTAATTCTCTGTTCCAGTTAATGTGGGTTTTTTTTGTGATGTGTGGTTTTTATTTTCAATGTTTCAATATTTATGCAAACAAGGAGGCTTTATATACATTTTCAAAACCAAATAAATCTTTTTTATGTTATAACAAATTAAGAATCTCCCAATGTAGAACAGTTACAGTCGAGTGTTTTGCTGGTAGTGGTAAGGTAGAATTTTTTTAACTTCTTGTTTTGCTTGTTGTGCAAAGTAATTCCAATATTTGAAGCAATCTGTGAATTCAAAGTTTTGGAGCCAGGAAAGTGGCTTTTTGTCTGTTTGTTTGGTCTTGTATTTTCATGCTTAATTGAAATTTTAAATTGTAAATTATTTCAGGTGTTACTCTGCGCACCTTATGGGTACGTCTAGTGGACAGACCAGATTTGGAATTGGAGGCCATTGACGATGACCTGAAGCGGTTTGTGTGGCGGAATTTGACGGAGACTAAGGAAGTGGACTTCTACGTTCTCCCAGAGGCCAGGCCTGAGCTGGTTCTGTTCAAGTACAGCTCCTATATCGACGAGTTGGCCTGCAGTTGTATTCTCCCCGTGAGTTGCTCTTTTTGTTTTTAGTAATAGTATTCAAGTAGCATTTTAAATTGTTCAGATTTTGTTCAACACAGGATTACCTCTGCTCCGAGTGTGAGACTTTTCAAGAGGATGAAGCTTTCTTCATGCATCTGTCTAATCCAGGGTACTGATAGAAGTGCTTTGTCTTGATTTAGGAAAAAAAGAAAAGGAAGGAGAGAAGATATGTAGAGTTAATTTTTTAGGCAATTAAAGCAATGCCCCTTTCGGCAAACTCTTGTTGTAATTTTAAACACTTGATGTTTTGTTGCTGATGGCAAATTATTTAGAAGAACTTTCCTGTTCAGTTAAAAATAAAAAAAATAAATTGTTAAATAACTGCAAGGTTTCCCATTTTGAGATAAGGGTTTCTTTTACAGTACTGTAAAATCTTAGTCTAAAGTCACTCAAAGCTTAATGAGAAAGACGTACATTTTGAAACATACCTGCCCTCTTTGTTTTCCAGGGAGATTTACCGGAGGACACATTCTCTTTGACGGTGATAGACCAGGATGGTATCATGGGGGCCTGTGATCACTTCCACACCCGAGTCAAAGTCTCAGATGAAGTGAGAACTGCGGACATGCAGTCTGTTTTGTCATTACCTGAGGCGGAGGACAGGTAATTGTTATTAATGTTGGTAGGAAAAGGATTGTTATTGGAACGAGAGTTCTCAGATAGAATTCTTTTTTTTTCTGTAGACCGCCTGGACAAAAATGAAAGTTGTCATCTGTGCCTTCATTTCATTGCTGCACATGTGTCTGTCTGTCTCATGAAAGATGCAGATGAAGGCCACATTCTCATTGCCAACCTTCTTCTTTGTCTTCCAAGTGCCATGTCTGAAATGGACATCAGCAATCATGGTTCTCCACCCATTTCTCAGTTCAGCCTATTTCATCCTAATCTTCCCCCCCAACTCCCAGCTGTTCAAGTTTCCTAAGTAGGTCTTTCTTGATCTACCTCGGCATCTTCTACAGGTTATTTATCTAGTGAGAGAAAGACATTGTCAGTGGGTCACTGGTAGTGTTCATAAATGCTTGTAGTTTCTGAGGAGAGGAAAACCAAGGTTTGTAGCTTCACCCTCTGGTGTGTGTGTGTGTGTGGGGGGGGGGGGGGGGCAGTGTATTTTCTCATGTGACAGGCTTACTAGTAGATTTGACGCCGGCAGAGAAACTGTGAGTGCCTTTTTATTCTACTCCAGCTGTCAGTGGCAATCCCTTCCTTTTTTCTTAAATGGAAATATTTTACTGGTCTATTTTGAAGGTTAAGTTCATGCTCAATTCAGCTCTATTGATACCGTCCACTAAATTTTGGATGATTCTTTCTTTTTCAGATGGGGTGATCGTTTGGTGATTGTTGCCAGCCAAAGACAGAGGAACCTGGTTTTGCTCGATTCCACCTTAAACTGCTACAACCTGACTGGAGATATATACTTTTTGTTGGAAAAAATCGGAAGGTGAAGAAATGATGGTCTTTGCCTAGAAATTTCCCCTCCTTTGATGGTATTGACCCGTGAAAGGATTTACTTGCAGAATAGATGTCGTTTGATTCACTGAGAAAATAATTTGGACCTGCGTAAAAGACTTTAAGATAGATTTCTTTGTCACAGTTTTATGTTTTTTCTTGAGTTATTTTCATCCTTTTTAAGGCTTTACTGTTGAGATTGTTTGAGATGGATGTTCAGCTGACTATTGTACCACAAAATTAATTTTTACAGCTTAAAACGGATACATTTTCTTTTTTAATGAATATGTCTGAAAGTCAACATTATTTATGTGAAATGAGCAAATTTCTTTTCATGAATTCAATGTTCATACATCTAATGCTACGTGATCTCTTTATGTTTTTGTTCTTTCGCTTTGCTTTACTTTACTTTTCCGATCCAGAGGCCATGTGCTCAGCCTGTTGATATGGCCAAGAATTTACAGGTTTTTATCAGCTGTGTTTTGTTGCTGCATGAAGACAACCTTGAGACCATCTTAAGCTAAACTGACCGTCTGCATAGACGAAAAGAACCACATATATATATGTTTTGTCAATCTATAGCGTCTTTCCAACATATGGGGAGGCAGCTAGGTAGGCTCTACGCCGGTTGCTAAGTGCAGGGCAGGTAGAGAGGTGCACTCCCAAATCATCACTCTCATGTGGTGCGCCATTTCACAATGTTGGGACAGATTGTGGTTTTGAGAAGAGTTTACTGGGCTATTTGTCCACTTTGCCATTGTGCTGTTGAGGTAACACTTTCACTTTGAATTTGTCCCCCCCCCCCCCCCTCCCCCCAGGGGAAGTTTCAGCTCGATCCGACGTTGTGTCCTTGGGAAAGGCACTTTACACGAACTTCTCACTTGGCTCGGTCCTATGGGAGATGGACGTTAAACTAGGAGGTCCCTCCCGCCCCTTAAATAACCTATTAGTGTTGATAGGGGCGTTAAACCTATACCATTTCTATACCCCAGGGGAAGGTATGATGGAGAACTGAGCCAGTGCAAGAGTATTCGCGGGCTCCTCCGGAAAAAGATGAAGACCTCCGTCGGGAGCTTGCACACCCGGATTAAACGACTACAACAGCTCAGACTGATCATCAAGCAGGTTAGTTTGAAAAAGAATTTGTGGGTGGTTCGCGGGTGCTGTGGTGTGGTTTTTCTCCTTCTTTCCTATCAAACATCTATCGTCTTTATCTCCCCTTATTCTTTTTTATGTTTGTTAAACTCTTGTAACACCTCTAATCTTCTGGCGCTCATATGACCTTATGCAGTTGCGAGCGCTGTAAAACTTCTACTAAAACAAAGAACGAAAAAGAGTTTCTTCCTCCCAATTGATATACCCGCATGATGTGACTGAAGTGCACCATGTGTAGGTTCTCTTTTTTCTTTCTTTCCTTTTGTTTCTTCATGTCTGTCTTATTTTTTTCCCCTGTCTTTGTTGCATCGAAAGTCTTTCTTTCTACTTCATACAGAGAAGCTTCTTGTAAGTCTTATGGTGGGTGGTTGGCGGGTGCTCTGGTGAGGTTTGCTCCTTCTTTCCTATCAAACATCTATCGTCCTTATCTCCCCTTGTTCTTTTTATGTTTGTTACTCTCTTGTAACACCTCAAATCTTCTGGCGCTCATATGACCTTATGCAGTTGCGAGCGCCGTAAAACCTCTACTAAAACTAAAACTAAGTCTTGTGCCATTCCTATATCAAGTTTTTTTTCGTACTGTGGTCTAAAATATTTTGTCTCTGTGCTTTTTTTGTTGCTTTTTGTTGGTCGCGTGTTCTGATTTTGGTGGCGATATTTGTAGGTTACGTAAAATGTGCTGACATGGTGCAAATTGTTATGTTTCAAGAAAATCAAAATGTGATGATGATGATGGTGATGATGATGATCAATTTTTTCTGTGTTAAAAATGACAAGCATAGTTGTTAATGTACTTCTTTTTCACCCTAATCTTGTGATATGCTTATTCCTCAACCTTACAATGTGTTTTTGTTGTTTCATTATTTCTCCTTTTGTTTTTAATTGAAAAATAGCGAGCATCTAAGCCGTGGCTCTCATTTAGGATCCCTCCTTTCTTAAAATATTTTCATATAACCTTATGCAGTTGCGAGCGCCGTAAAACCCCATCCTAAACTAAAACTTAAAATATTTTCAAAACTTCGAAAACGACCTCAGCATTTGTGGAGTAGCGCTGACGATATAGTTTCCCCTCTCTCTCAGGACTTCACCGTTGCGTTTGAAGGCTTCACCAAGCACCAGACCCGCCTCCTCCACCTCAAGCGATTTTACCGCGCCACTCCGGCCAACCTGAAGAGCAAACTGTTTGAAGTGACCCAGTACCTGATGTCCAGGCCCAACCACACGGCTGCTTACACCTCGGAGCTGGTGAAGGATTTGGTAAAGAAGCCCATCCTAGCTGAATAGTGTTACTACTAGCGCATACTAGCTGAATAGTGCTACTGACTCGCTTGGTAAACTAGCGCATCCTAGCTGAATTGTGTTATTGACTCACTTGGTGAACTAGCGCATACTAGCTGAAGTTATATTATTTAGTATGAAGATTAGACAAAGTTTGGCCTTGATGATAGTTTGGAGTCTTTTTAGCTGCTTTTTGAAGAGTTCCTGAGATTTTTTGCCAGAGAGTGATGCTTCCAGTAAATATTTGTGAGATTCTAGCAAAAACAATCTTGAGTCATAATTCGAGCCCCTGTCTCAGATTTTATTGTTGCAATGAGGCTCTCTGCAGAGCATCATAAAACCTGACATCATGATTATTAGCCAGCTGGAAGTTAAAGATGATATTAATTAATTTTTAAAACTTTTATCTCATCTCTCTATTCCCAGCAAATGTTAGCACCGCCCGTCAAGAAGCACATCACCATCATGAAGAAGTTCATCAAGTACCACATGGTGCCGTATCGGGAGTACTACCCTAATGCCAAGGACAAGGAGTGGAAGTCGAAGTATGTCCTATTGACTTTATTTCAAAATGAAACCCAGTTCTGTACTGACATTGTTTTTTTTGGTTTCATTTTTGTAAACTGTTACAATAATTCATTTTACTTTTGTGTCCAGATACATCTTTTACCCTCTTCACTCTTCTTCTTCTCGATCTCATCACACTTGAAGTCAGGTACCTATCATGTACTGTGGCGTCGGTGGCTTAGTGGACTTGCAACCGTAAGGTCATGGGTTTGAATCCCGTCAGGGGCCCGACGTTTTGTCCTTGGGAAAGGCACTTTGCTCAAATTTTCCTCACTTCACCCAGGTGGAAATTGGTACCCAGCTATAGACAGTGAACGATCTTGTCAGTTTGATAGTGTTTGAGCGCTTGAAATCTGCAGCTTGCACTGTATGCTTCTGCGGAAGCCGAGAATGTTTCTGAGTGTTCTCAGAGGGTCTGCTGGGGTAATAATAGTTGTAAAGCGCATAGAGCATGCTCTTGAGCATGGATATGCGCTATATTAATGCAATTATTATCATTATTATGTTCTGGGCCGTCCTGCTCAGTTCATCTATTGGCCTGTGCTGTTTCCCTTGTTGTGTCAGTGGGGTTGGCCCCACTTTTCCTGTCTCAGGCCGAGGCGGTGCCACTGACTGAAGTGTCTTTAGGCCTTTCCCAAAGAGGCGACATTAGCTTGTTCTTATGCACAGTAGAATTGTAAATGGGCTGATTCATCGATGTCATGCTCATAACTGTGCCTGAACTGCAACAGGGAACTGCTGCTTTTTCTTTCCTAATCCTTACTATCGTCATTTTTTGCTCTTTGTCATTTTCTATATTTGTTTGAAGTTGTAAACAGACTCATGTATGTGTGGGTCAAAATATTAATAAGGGTCCCGAATTAAGTATGCGGCAAGTGGTAATATAACCTACTACAGATTTTTTAGGTCAACTACAGATTTTAGGACAAAAATTTGTGTCAACTACAGATTTTGCCCAGGCAATGTTGGCCGGTATGTTGATAGTTGAAGCAGACTTTTGTGCTGTTGAAGCTAGAGAGGTGAGCAGAGTAAGTCTGATTCCCAGTAAGGACTTCTCTGTTGACATATGACCTCACGCAGTTGCGAGCGCCGTAAAAACCTTACTAAAACAAACAAACCTGTCTCAGGGCCCTCTCTGTACTCTATAATATTATATTCTTTGTCGATTTCTCTGCCTGTGCAATTGGAGGACCCAGTCCTTCTGTGTAGGTGGTTGAAGGGCTCCACTGGTAGGTCCTTCTTCTTTTCTTCCCCTCTGTTGTTTCTGTCTGTCTGTCTTGCTTTTTCCTTGCAGTAAATGTCAGTTAGCAGGTCGGTGTGTTTCACTTTACTCAAACTCAGTTCTCATGTGTTTCAGAAATGGCAGCGAAAAACTCATCAAGCTGGTGACCTTGATCAAGCCGTTTAACATGTTCGAGGACCTGAACGTGGACGATTCTGATGAGGATGAGGGGGAGGAGGAGGAGGGGGGGAACAGTGAGCGAGAGGAGAGCGACACTGAGGGTGGAGATGCTGCAGAGAGCAACACAAGAGAGGGAGGTGCTGCCAGGGAGAGTCAGAAACCTGCTGTGTCTGAGTATGGTAAGTGTGGAAATAGGAAATGTTTTGTTTTTTGTATTGGTAAGTATTGTGGTTCATAAGATGCATGCTACGTATCCCATGGACTGCTAGAAAAACAAATGGAGAAGTCTTGGTTGAAGCAAATTGTAGAAGACAGCTTGTGACGAATTTAAGAAATCGACAGGCAAATTTCTTCGGACACACAATGCATTGGAGAATATTGTAACAACAGGCAAGTTTGATGGAAAGAGGCAGAGTCAGACAGAGGGAAAAGATACTGGACAAGATGACAACATGGCTAGGAGCAGCAAAAACAACAGACACCATTGCTGCAACGCAAGACAGAGTGAAGTGGAGGTCCACGATCGCCCACGCCATTCGGCAAGGCACCGGATGATGATGATGAAATGTTTTACAGCGCTCGCAGCTGCGTAAGGCCATATGAGGGCACGGGACATATTAAATATTTTCAATGTGATAGGAATTAATTTTGAATTTAGTGCGGGTGGTGGCCAAAGCCTACTCTTATTCATTTTGGACCACAAAGGGATCTTTAACGTGCACAACTGAGATTTTCTGCCCTTATTTGAGAAGGCTAGGTGAAAGATCTTATCTATCCTAAAATCAGGGGTATTTCTGAAAGACAGCAGAGAGAAGGAGCCAATGGGTAGCAGTAGAAAGGCTGCAGAAAGAGTCAGGAGTTCAAAGACGGGGGCAAGGGGTGGGGCACAGAAAGTGGAGACGAAAGCTGACAACAGGACACGGTTAGAGAGCTGGAAAGGAGATGAAAGGAAAATATTTTAGAGAAGAGAATTTTCCGTCACTGTTGATTCGAACCCAGGACCCATTGAATGAGAGGCAAACATGATAACCCGTAGACCACGAGAGCCCCCAATAGGAAATGTGAATCTTATGCAGGATGAACTTTCAAATTGTTTTATTGTTTTAGTTAGGTTTTACGGAGCTCGGAACTGCATAGGGTCATAAACATTCTAAAAAAGGCAAAATTGAAACTAAGCGTCCACAGCCTCCCACAAAGATCAGAATTTCGGTTATCAACCTGCGTGCAGTAAATGACTATTTTCAAGAATCCAAGAGCAGACGGATATGATAATAATAATAACAATAATAATAATAAATGACATTTATATAGCGCTCAACCCCGAATAAAGTACACAGGCTCTGAGCGCTTTACAATACAGTACAACATACAACAGTAACATGAAACGTTGTGTTCTGACTAAAGAAAATTATTCCAAATATTCATCTTATTAATTTAAAAACAGAAACGACTTCAGCTGACATTTGAATGAATCAAAAGATTTGATTTCTCTCAACGTACTTGGTAAAGCATTCCAGATCTTGGGGCCTTGGTATTCAAATGCCCTTTCACCCATTGTTTTAAGTTTCATAGATGGTAAAATAAATTTCTTTTTGTCAGCTGATGACCTTAAACTGCGAGTTGGAATGTACAGTCTTAACAGATTTGATAAATATGATGGTGCATTATCATTCAAACATTTGTGACATATGGTGGCCAACGTGTACACAACCCTTTTCTCAACAGGAAGCCAATGCAAAGTTCGTAAAAGAGGTTTAGCAGAGTCTCGCTTTCTTTCCCGTAAAACTAAACGTGCTGCATTGTTTTGGACAGTTTGAAGTCTTTTAACTTTCTCCAGTGATATTCCTGTTAACAAGGAGTTACAATAATCGAGTTTTGATAAAATTAAGCTAGTTACTAGTAAAGCAGTGTACTTGGTACTGATAGATATTCGTGTGTGCCAATTGATATTGATCAGTCTTTAAAAAAAAAAGACCTTCTCCTAATAATTGACTTTTTTATTTTCTCAACTCTATAGGTTACCCTCTGTATCATTTGTCAACTCTAAGTCAAATTAAGAAGATTATAGATGAGAGTGGACCAAATGGACTGTCACTGACACAGGTATGTTCTATTATTTATCGAAAGCGATCTATGAAAGAATATTTGCAGACCTCCGATTTTTGTCAAACACTTCGTACAAGTTTTTTATGGTTGCATTTAGTGATTTTGTCATCCCTTTATCGTACTGCTAAGGTAAGCCTAAGCCTTTTTGCTGTTGGTGTTCAGTGATACAAACTAGGGCTTGTTTGAATGTACTTATGATAAATATATTTCTTTCACATCACCTCTAATTTCCCACCTCTCTGTAATCAACGTCTTGACTGCATTGTATGCTTTTCAGGATTTTGAGACTCTTTTTGAATGCTTTCCTGTCTGCTGGGGGGGATGATATAGATTGTAAACGGCATAGAGCTTGCTTTTGAACAGGAATATTGCGCTATACGGATGATATTTTTATGCTGTACAAACTACGGCTTATTTGACTGTGCTTATTGCAATTTCTTTCTTTATTATTGTGTGGTAACTTCACAGGACGTCGAGTTTAAAACTCAGTACTGACAAATTTAACATAATTTGTTTACAAGCCCTTTATACATATGTGGGCATTAAAACTAAAAGATTATTATTCTAACCTCGACTTCTTTGCACGCTGTCGTGCAACTAAGTCGCTGCAGTTGAGCATTATTTTCCATCTCTCTGTATTCAATACCTTAACTACTCGAGTGGGTGGTTGGAGTATCAAACATCTATCGTCCTTATCTCTCCTTCTTTTTCTGCTCGTTACTCTCTTGTAACACCTCTAATCTTCGGCACTTGAATAATATGATAATAATATAATATATAACATTTATATAGCGCATTTCCAAAAAAGTAGCTCAATGCGCTTTACATTGGAATACCCATTTTTCGAAACCTTTCTTACTACTTCCTTTCTTCTCATGCAATATATATTTGTGCACACACACAGACACACACACACACACACACACACACACACACACACACACACACACACACAAAAGAACCCTGACCTTATTGTATTGCAAGTGCCGTAAAACTTCTACTAAAACAACAGACAACTTTGCACGCCGTCGTGCTACTAAATGGCAGCAGTTGAGCATTATTTTCCACCTCTCAGTGATCAATACCTTAACTACTCTAGTGGGTGGTTTGCGGGTGCTCTGGTGTGGTTTGCTCCTTCTTTCCTATCAAACATCCCCTTCTCCTTTTTTATGTTTGTTACTCTCTTGTAACACACCTAATCTTCTGGCGCTCATAATATGACCTTATTGTATTGCAAGTGCCGTACAACTCTTACTAAAACTAACTGCTCGACTCGTCCTCAGCTCCGCAATCGTACGGGCCTTCCAGGGCCTGCGATGAATAAAGCCATTCCTTATCTGATGAAAGAAGATGTTATTGCCCGCAAGAATCGTTCCTATGGGAGGACCTCGAGTACTTTGTAAGTGAAGAAAATCTTGGGGTCTCTGTCATGTTTCTTCTTGTCTGGTCGCTTTTAAGCACAAGGGTGCTATCCCGAAAAATGCTGTTTTGAGAAAATCGAAGGAAAAAGTTTTTGCTCCTTGTTCAGTTTTTTTAAAAGACGAAGAGAGTTTTCTTTATATCCAAACAAATATACACACCAATGAAACCAAACTTCTCCTATAGGTAGGGCAATTCCCACTTTTGGTGTGGGTCAAGATTTCTGGAAACCCCCAAAATCTGGGTTAGCCCGCTTGTCCTTAAAAGCGACCATCTCATTTCATTCGTTTTTTTGGTTCTATTTTGCTTGCTTGAGGCCATTCCCAAAGGGGGGATATTAACACGTTCTCACGCACAGTAGAATTGTAAATAGGCTGATTTATCAATGTCATGCTCATACTGTGCCGGAGCAACACAGGAGGAACTGCTGCTTTTTCTTTCCTCATCCTTGCTTTCGTCACTTATCCTCTACTTGTTTTGTATGTTTGTCACTCTCTTTTGAAATGCTATTTCCGGGGTGCCTTTATAGTCGAAGCAGACATTGTGCTGTTGAAGTTAGAGAGGTGAACAGAAGTAAGCCTGATTCTCTATTTGGACTTCTTAGCTATATTCCCCCCCCCACCTTTTCACTAGTGGTGAATGGCTGGTCTAGAAAAATGTTTTGGTTGTTCATTGTTGGTGGTTGGTAGCCAATCTGGTGTAGTTTGCTCCGTCTTTCCTATCAAACACTTATCGTCTTTATCTCTCCTCTTTTTCTTTGTAAGTTCCTCTAGCAGCACCTCTAATCTTCTGCATGTATATGGCCTATTTGGGTTGCAAGTGCTGTAAAAAAAACCTCTCTCTTAAACCAAACTGTGTGGGTGGTTGGCGGGTGCTCTGGTGTGGTTTGCTCCTTCTTTCCTATCAAACATCTATCGTCCTTATCTCCCCTCCTTCTTTTTTGTGTTTGTAACACCTCTAATCTTCTGGCACTCATATGACCTTATGCAGTTGCGAGTGCCGTAAAACTCTTACTAAAACTAAACTAAAAACCAAAGTGTTATTCCTCAGCTATATGTCTGTCAAGTATGCTGACAAAGGAGGTCAGAGCAACCCTCAGGGGCTGGGCCCTGCAGACTCCGTGGAGAAAGATGAAGTGGAAGCTGAAATAGAACAACGCATCTTGAGCAGAGTGCAGGTGGAAGGTGAGGCTGCTGTAAAGTGATAAGTAAATAAATACTTAAATAAATAAATAAATAAATGCATACATACATACATACATACGTAAATAAATAAATAAATAAATAAATGACTAAATTGATAAATAATTGAATACATACACAAATAAACAGATAAATAAATAAATGTGAGGCAGCGTGATGGAATCAGGCTCTCGTCAATTTTTGGGCGTGTAGACTTATTGGTAGCATTTTAAAGTTTGTTCACTTGTCTTGATTTAGATGAAAAAAATACCCATTTATCTTGTGTACAAGTCGAGATATTTGCAAATGAAGGAGGTGGGGGCCACCTGTTTTCAGAGGTAAAATTAGTGAGAAAATGGCCGCCAAAGATTAGTTATTTCCTTAGCTTAAGAGTATGTGTTAACTGAAAATTTACATTTTCTGTGCGTTTAGTCAACGTTTTTCAGAAAAATACCCACAGAAATGAGATCTTAAATGGGCATGAAAGGTGTTGAGCCAAAAATCTTTTTTAAAATAAAAATTCACAAACCTGCGGAAAAATGCAAGTTTCTTCACTTTGATTATTTTGACGAGAGCCTGATTCCACCACGCTGCCTCACAAATAAATAAATTCATTGATCCCCATATACAAAGAATGCTGAAGACACAATATTACATCAATGCAGAGTTTTTAAAGATATGCTAGTGCTGGTTGCCGCTTTGCAGCTACCTGTTTTTTTCTGGGTTTTTTTGTAAGCTTGGGTTATCATGTCTTGCTCAAGGTGACACTCTCAGTTATGAGTTATGGCCCTTCAGTTATGAGCTGGACAGTCTGACCAATCGACCACCGATACCGCTATGTTCTCACAAATAACATATGTGAGGCAGGGTGGGTAAATCAGGCGCTTGTCAAAATAATGAAATCAGAGAAATCGGCATTTTTCCGATGAGTTGCAATTTTTATCAAATTTTTTTTCTTTGGCTCAACACCTTTTATCTCCATTAAAAACACATTTCCGTGCTGATTTTTCTGAAAAACGATTGAGGGCACAAAAAATAAATTTTCAATTTCCAAGGACTTTCAAGCTTTCGAAGTCACCAAATTTGGTGGCTAATTTTACCGCTGAAACCAGGTGACCCCCAACTCCTTCAGTTGCAAATATCTCGACTTTTATTCAAGTTAAATGGGGTTTTTTTTCATCAAAATATGGACAAATGAACAAGCTTTATGATGATACCAATAACTTGGCATGCTCAAAAATTGACGAGCGCCTGATTCGGCCGCATCGTGACACATATGCCCTCCATCTACAGATGAGGAACTGAAAAACGTGACTCTCGAACAGCTGGACCAGAAGATTACCGAGATGAACATCACCTGGAAAGTGGACCGGGCCACTCCTCCCTCTGCTCCTGGTCTGACGAAACACAGTAAGTTCACGTATCGATGGTGTTGACTGCAAACTGGCCGCCTTTGTTCATTAAGTTAACTCTTTCACTACCGTGAACGTGTTTCACGGCTCTCCACTTCCTGCTTCAAAACCACGCCCACTTTTGTAATAATCAAATCTGAAATCTCAGGCTGAAGAATGATCGTTTTTAGCAGCATGTTGAGATAGGTCATTATTTCCCCTTTATTTCTATATATAATACATGTGGCTAACATTTAAAATTCAGCTTAAAATCTTTAATTTGTCTGACAGCAGGCAGAATCAGAAAGTAGGTCACGCACAGATAGGGCCTGGTCCAGGTGAGGAAAACCCCCTGGTAGTGAAAGAGTTAAGGCTTTGTTTTTTTTTACGAGGGACGGGAAAAACTCTTTATTTTGTCTGTTTGCTTCTATCATTTGATGGAATGTCTGCTTTTAGAGAAGCACTTCTACCTTAGATGGAAAACATTTTCAATATCTCGTTTTAGGGGAAAAGCTTTCCTTCTTAACTGACCCTAAAGAATCAAGTCGGAGTCGGTTGAATCCGTTGCTCAAATTCCA